ATTTTAATTTTAAAATATACAAAAACTAAAATTAATATGAGAACACCATTGTTGTATAATAATAACAATAATAATAAATATAATTAAAAGTAAATGTTGGAAAATTTTATTAATAAATAATAATTATAATTATAATCATTTTATATTATCATCATCATCATCAAAAGCGCCCCTTATAAATTCCACTCATTTCGTGTTACACTCTTCCTTCCTTTGGCTATAACTGTTGCCAATCCTATCCTCTGCAACCGCATCCAAACAAACCCTAATTTTCTCTGCATAATCCAATCCTTCTCATTCCCCTTCTGCAACCCTTAACCATCGATCCATACTGTAATTGAATAATCGATTTTCATAAATTCATTGGAAAGAAGGGATTTTGTTTTCATCTCGATCTTCGCGCTCCTAGATTGTTGTCGTGAGAATGGTGGGAGGTGGAAGCAGGAGAGACGAGGGATCGCTGGTGATTAACAACACCAACGTGTTTGCGGCGCTCGAGACTCTAAGGAAGAAGAAGAAGTCCGACAAGGAAAAGGGTTCCTCCAAGACCGGAAAGGGGTCCTCCAAGGCGCACCAACAGAAAGAGCCTGAGACTCCGGCCTTCTGGACTCCGACCCCCCTCAATGTCAAATCCTGGGCTGATGTTGACGATGACGATGATTATTACGCCACCGCTGCCCCTCCTCAGTCCTCTTGGGCTACTTCGGAGACATCCCAGAAACCCAATATAGAGGTCAGAAAGCTGATTATTATTATTTTTTTTTATGTGCAAATCTCAGATTTTTAGCTGACTTCTTGTTTGTTCTTACTAGGAGATTTCATTTGTCTGTGTAATTTTGAGGCTTGTTTCATTGATTTCAGTCTTATGCTATGTTCTTTGTTGATGGCTTGTGAGTTGTGAGCTTCGTGTTAGTATTGTTTTCTAAAATTTAATACATTTTCTGATTGAGGATCAATATACTGTTGGAGGAGATATTTGGTTTTGGCTCAAACAAAATTTTGAAGTTAATGGCTAGTTGTATATATCATTTTGATTCTTAATGCTATTTGAAATAATTAATTACATGCTATATTCTTGATAAGAGAAGATGGTCCCCCGGGCTTTTCTTGTTATTTTTGAGTCTTATAGGGAGGAGCATGTTTCAATTAAGTTTTTGGTTTTGTTCTCCATTGTGGATGTCTGTTCTATTCTTTGCAATTTGAAATAGTCTGAAAGAAAAGCATTACTTGAGTTCTAGTTTCTCCCTTTGTTTTGTTTTTTTTTTTTTTTTATCAAAAGAAGAGGTGGTTACCCCATTTTTTTTCCCCATTTTTTTGAATCTGTCCAATGAAAAGCTAAGCGGAATCGTGTTAGGTTTATGTAAGGAGAACAGATCATGATTTTCTTGTTTGCAGAATACAGGTCTGTTTCTATTTCAAATTCATGTCTGTCATTAGCCTTTTCTTGTTAGACATCATTTCTTATTCCAACTATTTGGATAATAAAAATTAGTTTTGCAGCTTGCTGTTTAAATTTTTATTATTTCCCCATCCATTTTGAAGTACAGGAGGATAGTGAGAGTGAAGAATATATTCTAGATGAAGGTGATGATGATGCAGAGGAAGAGCATGATCATGAACCTGAGATTCCTGTGCATCCCGAGCCTATGCTGTCAAAACCTTCCACTCCTACAGTTTCTGTGCCACCTAAAGAGACAGAAAGGCAACTTTCGAAAAAGGAGAAGAAAAAGAAGGAACTTGCTGAGCTTGAGGCCCTTCTAGCTGATTTTGGAGTTGCACAAAAAGAAGGAAATGGCCAAGATGAGTCACAAGGTAACTGTAACACATTTACCTGTTAAAACTTCCTTCTGTTCTGTTTAAATTGGTTTCTTCTAACATTCTCCTTTACACATGGACGCAAAATTGTGCTTCTAATTATTTGGTCTTTATACTTGACTTTAGGGAGTTTCAGATAATCTATCTGAGATGAGCTTAGTCCCTTTTAGGCTCCTGCACAATGGTCTCAGAAACATTTCTGTAGTTGAAGATCCCTCAGATCACCAAAAAGTAAAAATGTGCATGCTCACTTATTGTGTGCTTATTTATATTTGCATGCTCTTTGAGGTTGTCAAGCATGAATTGGCACAATTGAGTATGATGATCATATTCTATTGTTTAATGCTTGTGTTTTTATCCTGTAGTCTTCTCAATGAGAAAATATTCAATTAGCATCAGAAGCATAAAATGCAAGCATGGTAGAGTTTATCTGTTGTTTACCACAAATTATTCTCACATATTCCAAATCTTGGGTACTTCTGAGCTAGGTCATTTATTCTTTTTTTCAGATGCTGCAGAAGAAAAGAAGGATGGGGAGCTGAATGGGGATGAAGATAAGAAGGAAAGTGCCCCTGGGGAGTCCAAAAGTGCTAAGAAGAAGAAAAAGAAGGATAAATCAAAGGAGGCCAAAGACTCACAGGATCAGTCTAACAACACAGATGTCACTAATGGACCTGAGGAAGCTGCTGGATCAGAGCATGTAGAGGAGGATGCGAGCACTGTTGATGTGAAGGAGCGGCTAAAGAAGATGGCATCAATAAAGAAGAAGAAATCTAGTAAGGAAATGGACACTGCAGCTAAAGCTGCTGCACAAGAGGCTGCTGCGAGGAGTGCGAGGCTTGCTGCTGCAAAGAAGAAAGAGAAGAACCATTACAACCAGCAGCCAGTGCGGTAAAAGCCCCCTTTTTGTCCAAAATTCGTACATCCACATGTATTTCTTGTTGTTCATACAACCATGCGGAATAAACAGTGGACCCTGCTTTTCGAAAAAGATGACCATTTAGTTGTAATACTAGTGGACTAAAGAGAATTCCACTGTTTTTTGACTTCTTGGATCCTATTGTTGCTCAGTTTTCATGGACCTCATTGTTTTGGCAGTTTTGTTGGCTGAGAATTTTTCTTTGGACAGCAGTGAACTTGATTCATCTGTGTAATTTAGTTCTTTCTAACCATCTTATAGTTGATCGCAAGTGTTGGCTTACTCAATGATGCTGGATATCATATATTACCGTTTGTTCTGTTCTGGCTGCTTTGTTACAGTCAGTCAAGTGGATAATGGCATTTGTTGTAAAGTATGAGAGATTTAGGTTATATGAAGGAATCCAGCATTTGTATGCTAATGAATGCCAGGGTATTTCATCAAAGAAGGCAAAGGATAAATGAAGATGGAGACCCATATAATAATTGAAGAAGTGGGCCATGTCTCTGTTTGCCTCTGATTTCAAAATTACAAATGATATGGAGTTGCTGACATGGCCAGTTCAGTTCGTTTGCTTTGTATAATTATTTGTTTATGATCATTTTGACCAGAATGTTGTTGATCGACAGAGTAGGATTCGTACTAAAGGGGAGGTAGTTTTTGTTAGTAAAGAACCTTACCCTTCACCTTGTTAACTTTCACCTTGTTTACTAAAGGTGCATTTGGGGTTCTGGTTGGAACTTTTTCGTATAATTGTACAATATTTTTATATATATATATATGTGTTTGATGATTTCTTTTAAATTTTTTTTTAAAATTATAAAAAATCACAACATATCTATAATAATTTTATATATAAAATTAAAAATTTAATTTTGAAGCTTTTTAATTGACTTTTATAAAAAAGACCTAATATTTAATATAATTATAAAACTATCTATTAAAATTTAATTTTATATAATTTAATTACATTATAATTTAATTACATTATAATTTATAATATTTTAATAATGATAACAAATTTAAAAAACTTAAATTATTAAAAAATTAAATATTATTTATTTTAATAATTATATATTTTACAATATTTTTATTTTAATTAATAATTAATAAATTTTATTATATTTCATTTATAATACTTCTAATAAATAAATAATCAAACATCAAAATAAATTTTAACTACAAATACAACACAACATAATTCAATACAACCACAACACTTTACAACAACCCAAAACACACCCTAAGATTCGATTTGAACCAATCCTAGCTAATGACCATCCCTTCACCGAACCAAGGAGGTAGTTTTCATGAGGTGCACGAATACTTAACATTCACCCCAGTGCCGTAGCAAAAACAGAGTTAGATTTGTACTTTCACTTTAAGATTCAAATGATTGGATGGCAGCTAACCTAGACTTGTTCAAGTCCTTTGAAACAGATGCTAGACCGAGTTTTAGTTTTGGTGAAACCATACAGGGTAAACATTGCAGAAAGAGCCGTTGCTGCGTGTTTCCTAGAGGGGAAACTGAGGAACATGGCATCTTAGATCGTGTTCTTCATAACGTTAAAAGAGTCCACAAATATCCCAGACTTTCAAAGTTAAAAAGAGTAAGCAATAATTTAAAATACAACACAGGTTAGATGTTGGGGTCATGAGGAGCTGAATCTGTGGAACAGAACACCAAACGGACAGATTGAGCAACCAAACAGCAACAAACTACAATCTGCAAATATAAAACCCTAATTTGTACTGTCATCTGCTGTTAACTTAGGAATTCTGAAAACAACCATCATTTCCATAATTTGACAGACTTGTCATGACTGGCAGAAGCAATCAACCCTGTGGCAGTCGATACAGCCAATGCAGCAATTAGTCCTTCATGTGTTGCCACACTCATAGTTTTGTTCTCAGTCGTATTCCAGAGCTCCAAAGACTGCAGTAGAAGCCAAAGCCACACCTCAGAAACAAATCCAAGACTAGCAATATGACAAAATGATTTGCTGTTTAAAGTGGGAAAATTCCACATGGGAAGTTTAAAAAGAAACTCGTGCTTAAATAGAATATGGGATACTCAAGCTCACTTGTTTTGTTAGGGGCAAAGCATGAATAAAGGAAACTAAAGACTAAATGGGAGGTGAATGGATAATAGAAGAAGGCTTTAAAATAGTTCCAACTTAAGTGAGATTTCAAACCCTGAATGACAAAAAACTAGTCCAGAAGAGCTTGAAACGTTTCAAACTCATGACCTTGATTCATATGCAATGATTCCTAAAACTAGAAAAATTCAATTCAGATCCAAGACACTAAATCCTGTAAACAAGCTCACAAAATGATAATACACTAATGCAGGTCACTGCATGATTACTTACAAAAGGTTAAAAGTATAAAACAACTTATAAACAAGCTCACAAAGTGATAATGCACTAATGCAGGTCAGTGCATGCTTGCTTACAAAAGGTTACAAGGATAAAACAACTTACCTGGTAACAGCCAATAACCAGTAATGATGAGGAATAAGTAGGATGGAAAACACAAGAGTGGAACTTGTTGCCATTACAGCTCAAGTCATGAACACATTCTCCTTCAGACCCTGATCCAAATCTCCAAACTCTGACAGAGTCCTCACTAACAGATGCTAGAAACTCACCTGAAGGATCCCAGCACACTGAATGGATCGGTTTAGTATGTCCCTGCAAGTGAAAAACACAAATTTACAGGAAAATCAGCCACCCAACAATAGAGAAAACTCCTAAAACAAACCATTTTAAACGTTAATTACCAGTGTTGATTTACCTAAGATGAAATATCGTGACAGTATGGAAAGGTGCTTAAAGTATCTACCACGACAAGTATGACATTCTTGATAAATATATATATATATATATATATA